TCCCAACCAGCCTGTGGCGTTGGATCCTCGTTGTAAAGAGACGGTCCCCGCGTTGCTCCTCTCCTCCTCCTCCCCCTCCTCCCCCTCCTCCCCCTCCTCCCGCTCCTCCCATCCCTCCTCCTTTTTCCATGCGTTTCACCCACCCAGCACAACGCTTCGTGGCCCCATAGGGAGCTCCACCGAAGCCCCCAGTGGCACCGCCCGCATGCGTCCGCCATCACCCAACACAGCCCTCGCTCCCTGCGTTTCACCCACCCACTACAGCGTCTCGTGGCCCCATAGGGGGCTCCACCGAAGGTCCCAATAGCACCGCCCGCATGCGCCCGCCACCACCCAACACGGCCTTCGCTCTCTGCGTTTCACCCACCCAATACAGCGCTTTGTCGCCCCATAGGGACTTCACCGAAGGTCCCAGCGGCACCGCCCGCATGCGTCCGCCACCACCCAGTACAGCCCTTGCTCCATGCGTTTCACCCACCCAGTACAACGCTTCGTGGCCCCATGGGGAGCTCCACCGAAGGTCCCAGTGGCACCGCCCGCATGCGCCCGCCACCACCCAGCACAGCCCTTGCTCTCTGCGTTTCACCCACCCAATACAGCGCTTCGTGGCCCCGTAGGGAGCTCCACCGAAGGTCCCAGTGACACCGCCCGCATGCGTCCGCCACCACCCAGTACAGCCATTTCTCCGTTCGTTTCACCCACCCAATACAACGCTTCGTGGCCCCATAGGGGGCTCCACCGAAGGTCCCAGTGGCACCGCCCGCATGCGTCCGCCACCACCCAGCACAGCCCTCGCTCCCTGCGTTTCACCCACCCACTACAGCGTTTCGTGGCCCCATGGGGAGCTCCACCGAAGGTCCCAGTGGCACCGCCCGCATGCGTCCGCCACCACCCAGTACAGCCATTTCTCCGTTCGTGTCACCCACCCAATACAACGCTTCGTGGCCCCATAGGGGGCTCCACCGAAGGTCCCAGTGGCACCGCCCGCATGCGTCCGCCATCACCCAGCACAGCCCTTGCTCCCTGCGTTTCACCCACCCAGTACAGCGCTTCGTGGCCCCATGGGGAGCTCCACGGAAGGTCCCAGTGGCACCGCCCGCATGCGTCCGCCACCACCCAACACGGCCCTTGCTCCCTGTGTTTCACCCACCCAGTACAGCGCTTCGTGTCCCCATAGGGAACGCCACCGAAGAAGATATTCACAATTGCGGTACTCACAACTGCATATGGTTGGGTCTTTCGCCATGTGAATTGTTTCTGTTGTCGTGCCTCTCGGTTTTGAGATCGGTGCGGCATGCGCGCGCGACGACGCGCGCGTGTGCACTTCGTCCCGTAGTTGTGGCAAGGGACTCTTGGAAACTGATGATGTTTGATAGACGAATGCGCGCGCATAGTAACTTCTGCAGAGGATGGGGGGGGGGCGAACTCTGGCCTACCCAGGATGGTACGAATTCATAGTTCGGATGGAAGATGGGACAGAATCAAATGCGCATTGAAATGCGAACAGGTGGGCCGTCAAGTCCGGGGGAGGAAGTAGGTCTCAGTTCTTCGTGGGAAGGAACATAGACTTGGTGCAATATAGCTTGGGTGCTCTTCGTGGCACAATCTATGCTGTGCAGTCGTTGTGGTGCAATCTATGCGGTGAATCATGTGCGGTGCAGTCGATGCGGTGTAATCAGCTTTGTGTATCCAAGGCGGCGACACAAAGGCGACGGGGGGCGACGGCGGTCACATAGCCGCCAGATCGAAAACACGGCCCCGACGACGGGCGGCGACGAGGCGGCGACGGGGGGGCGACGGCGGCCACACAGCCGCCAGACCGAAGACACGGCCTATTTCCATCGAACAGAACCCAGAAACCCCAAGCGCAAGCACTATTTGGAGAGTAGTCGTCCCTGTCGCATCCCCAGACGTGTAGGTAGGGCGGTCTGGGCATTTCGCGTGAGGCTTCCTCACGATCTACGATCTTGAAAGTTGAAATTTGCAAGAGCTACCGAAGCGGAGGTGAAGGTCGTTTCCAAAATGGGGAGCGATCGCCTGAGCGCCGTGCCCACTCGTCTTAAAAGCCTGCACCAGTTGCAAGTTTGACAGCTGTTTTTCAAAATGGCGTTCGTTGCCGTAGCATCACGCACTGTCGCCTTACAAGCAACAACAATTACTAAGACGGAGACACCCACCTCTACGGTGGGACTGTCGCCTTACCGTGCACACTCGCCTTCACAGGTTGCAAGAAGTACGCGGACGGAGGGCGGTTTTCCCCAACCATCCTGTGGTGTTGGGTCCTCGTTTTGAAGAGACGGTCCCCGCATTCCCTTCGTCATCTCCTCCTCTTCCCCCTGCTCTTCTCCACCGCCCGCATGCGTCCCCCACACCCATTTCGGCACATCCCTCTCACGCTTCGTGGCCCCATAGGACCGCCCGCATGCGTTCCCCACACACCCAATTTGGCATTTTCACCCATCCAGTACAGCGCTTCGTGGCCCCATAGGGAGCTCCACCGAAGCCCCCTGTGGGACCGCCCGCATGCGCCCCCCACATCAAATTTGGCAGTTTCACCCACCCAGTACAGCCGTTCGTGGCCCAGGGAGCCCACCGAAGCCCCCAGTGGGACCGCCCGCATGCGTCCCCCACACCCAACTTGGCACTGTCACCCACCCAGTACAGCGCTTCGTGGCCCCATAGGGAGCTCCACCGAAGCCCCCAAATGGGACCGCCCGCGTACGCCCCCCACGCCCAATTTGGAATTCCCACCCACCCAGTACAGCGCTCCGTGGCCCCATAGGGAGCTCCACCCAAGCCCCCAGTGAGACCGCCCGCATGCGTCCCCCACGCCCAATTTGGCATTTTCACCAACCCAATACAGCGCTTCGTGACCCCATACGGAGCTCCACCAGAGCCCCCACTGGTACCGCCCACATGCATCCCCCATATCTAAGTTGGCATGTTCACCCACCCAGTACAGCGCTTCGTGGCCCCGTAAAGGGGGCCCCACCGAAGGTCCCAGTGGCACCGCCCGCATGCGTCCCCCACACCCAACTTGGCATTGCCACCCACCCAGTACAGCGCTTCGTGGCCCCATGGGGAGCCCCACCGAAGCCCCCACTGGGACCGTCCGCACGCGTCCCCCACACACCCGACTTGGCACTGTCACCCACCCAGTACCGCGCTCCGTGGCCCCATAGGGAGCTCCACCCAAGCCCCCAGTGAGACCGCCCGCATGCGTCCCCCAAACCAAATGTTGCATTTCCACCGACCCAGTACAGCGCTTCGTGGCCCCATAGGGAGCCCCACCGAAGCCCCCAGTGGGGCCGCCCGCATGCGTCCCCCACACCCAATTTGGCATTTTCACCCACCCTTTACAACGCTTCGCGGCCCCATGGGGAGCTCCACCGAAGCCCCCGATGTCCGCATGCGCCCCACACGCCTAATTTGGTATTTTCACCCACCGAATGCAGCGGTTCGTGGCCTCATAGGAAACTTCGCCGACGGCCCCAGTGCTACCACCCGCATGCGTTCCCCCCCCGCCCAGCGTAGCGATTCGTGGCCCCGTAGGGAGCTTCACCGAAGAAGCTATTCACAATTGCAGTACGCACAACTTCATATGGTTGGGTCCTTCGCCTGGATAATTTTTCCAACATGGTGTGATTGCCTCGGCGCCGCCAACATTACTCTTAGACGCATGTCACAGAGCCAAATACCGAAAGCCATTGCGATTCAAATTGGGGTTCTCGCTCAAGACGTCCTTAAACTCAACGGCCAGCATGTTGAACAAACGTGACAGCTACACGGACGGATGGCGGCTCATGTTCATTATGGGGTGTTCGCTGAAGGCTTGTTCAAATCTGAACACAAGAAGAATACAGTTGTGCAACAATTACACGGGTGGGCCGCTTTTCACTATTCAAAACGAGGCTCTCGCCAGACACCTGCCGGTTAACTGTATAGCCCTGCTTTTTCGCATTCCTCATAATCGCTGCGAGGATATCTACTAACTTTTTATTTAATTTAGGCCCTCGCCTGCATGGCACGCCCATAAAGCGGTCATCCGTTGAAGGGGCGCTTTTTGTAGTGAACCGGAAGGTGCGCATGGAGTTGCGACGCGAATGGCGCATTGCAGTCCCATTAGTACACCCTGAGGTTGTTCTGGTCCTCCTCCTCATCCTCCTCCTCCTCCTCCTTCACCTCCTCATCCTCCTCCTGCTCCACTTCCTTCTCTTCGTTCTCATCCTCCTCGTCCTCACCATCATTCTCGTCCTCATCAGAACCCCCATCCCCATCCGCATCCGAATCCACATCCACATTCTCATTATCACGCCCTATCATCCTCATCATCACCATAATCACCATCATCATCAGCCTCCTCGTCCTCATCACCATCAAAGCATCATCATCACCATCATCAGCATAATCCTCATCATCGCCACCATCATCATCGCCATCATCATCATCATGTGCATCATCATTATCATAATCACGATGATCACCACCACCATCAGCAGCATCACAATCATCATCACCATCATCAGCATCGTCATAATCACCTACATCATCATCGCCGCCAATATCACCATCATCATGACCACAACCATCATCATAATCATCATCGGCGTCATCATCGTCCTCATCATCATCAGCATCATCAGCGGCACCATCATCCATATCATCAACATCAGCAGCATCCAGATCATCATCATCCTCATCATCGTCAACATCATCCGCCTCTTCTACTTTCGTTGAGAAGCGCGCGCTGAGCGGTCGTGGCGCCGCGCGGCGGCGCCTAGCGACTCGAGAGGCGGTGCCCGGCCCAAGCGAGTGCACCTTATTGGAGGGGGCGCCACACAAGACCCAAACAGGGTAGTTCAGGGCTGCGCGTGTGACGGGTAGCTGCCTCCGCAAACGTCCGCCTCCTCCACCTCCATCCTCGTCCTCCACCTCCGACTCCGCCTCCGTCTCCTCCCTCCCCCGCGGCGGGCCCCTCAGAAAGCCAGCGAGGGCCACACCTTCCAGTGGCAGCTGAGCTGGGCGGACTCCGCGGTGCGTTCCGCTTCCTCCGAGCGAAGAAGATACTCCTACTGTCCCTGTCATCCTCGGCTGTTCCTCCTCCTCCTCCTCCTCCTCCTCCACCACCTCCTCCGAATCCTTCTGCTCCCTTCATCCTCCTCCATTTCCACCTCCCCCTCCCTCCATCTCAACCTCCTCTTCCTCTTCTTCCTCTCCTCCCCCTTTTCCTCCTCCTCCTCCTCTCCTTTTTCTCCTCCTCCCTCCTCCTTCCTCCTCCTTCTGCTCCTCCTCGTCCTCGTCATACTCCTCCTCCTATTCCTCCTCCTCTCCTCCTCCTCCTCCTCCTCCTCTCCTCCTCCTCCTCCTTCTCCTCTGCCTGTTTCTTATGTTCCGTCTCCCCTCCACCCTCCTCCCTCCTCGTCGTCCTCCTGCTCCTCTTCCTCCTCCTCCTCCTCCTCCTCCTCCCCCTCCTCCTCCCCCTCCTGTGAGGACCCCCAGAACCATTTAGAACTGGACCCCCTGAGAACCAGCCAAGCCCACAAACATTTCACCCTGTACCCCCTCTCCCTGAATCTGGATAGGCCCGGTCGCAAGGAGCTAGAGCGTCCGACATGGCTCCAGATGGCCCCCAAGAGGGCCCCAGATGGCCAAAGATGGGCTCCAATATTGTACAAGATTGCCCAAGATGGCTCTGGATAGCCTCTAACATGCCTCGCAGAGACCACATGACCGCCCCAAGACGGTTCCAAGAGGCCACGGAACCTCCCAAGGACCCCCCGAGAGGCCAAAAGTATTCCAACACCCACACAAAATCGAATGAGTTGTGTGTGTTCTCGCGTTTTCGCTTCGGACCTGCCTTGGAGGCCCTCAGATGGCTAAGGTCATCAAGGGCATTGATGGTTGACTCCTGTCATCGTCGTCGCGGTCGCCGTCGCCGTCGACGCCGCCGCCGTTGTCGTTGACGTCCTTTCCTTCTTCCGCCCCCATCTGTTTTGTTCCTCCTCCTCCTCCTCCTCCTCCTCCTCCTCCTCCTCTTCCTCCTCCTCCTCCTCCTCCTCCTCCTCCTCCTCCTCATCCTCCTCCTCCTCCGCCTCCTCCTCCTCCTCCTCCCACCTCCTCGTCATCCGCCTCCTCTCCTCATCCCTTCCTCTCTCCTTTCCTTCCTGCCTCCCTCCCTCCCTTCTCCTCCTGCTCATCCTCTTCCGCCTCCTATTCTTTCATTTCCTCCATGTTCTACTCGTTCTTTATCCCAAAGTAATGATTGGCCCCTTTTGTTCCACTGCAAGCTGCTACACTTCCCTGATCGTAGCAGCCTAGGGATTGTATTTGAAAGGGCGGATGAGGATGCTTTGTGGTCAGCGGCCGCGGGCGGGCGCGCCGGCGGCGTGTCAGGTCAAAGCGGGATACGCAGAGACTACTTAGGCAAAGGCAACGCGGGAAGAAACAAACCGAGCGACGGGCGAGGCGACAACTAAGCGCGGCCGAGGCCTCAGATGGAGGGCTGCCGGGACTGAGACTGAAGGGAACTGCCAGCGTGCACTGCTGCAAGTCAGTCGGAGGCGCCTTGCGTCGGAAAGTCAACGACGGCCAGGGACAACTCCGAGAGAGAAAACGTGTCACCGTACATCAGACGACTGCGTGGGCACCGGGCACCAAGGTGGCCGCGGCCAACGAAAAGCCGGTCGAGGTAGGGAAAAGAAATGCAAAGGCGAGGCCCCGGACGGAAGAGAAATGCAAAGGCGAGGCCCCGGACGGCGCGAAGCGCGGAAACCAGGGTGGTCCAAAGGACCGACGACCAAAGAATTGTTGCCAGAGGCGAAGCGTTGGCGGGCAGCAACTCCCAGGGTGGCGGGGGCCGAAGGACCCCTGGCAGCAGCACGCACGAATGCGGGGAAGCGGCATAGCCGCGACGCAAGTCAAAATGGCGCGGGTCACCACGTATCTGTGAGGCGGATGCGGATACGCGACGCGTCATAATCATCTGAATGCTCCATTGTGTTATCCACTTGTCCACTCCACATTATCCCCCTCCTCTCCTCCTCCTCCTCTTCCTCCTCCTTCTCCTCCTCATCCACCTCACCCTCCTCATCCTCCTCATCCTCCTCATCCTTATCCTCATCCTCATCCTCGTCCTCATCCTCATCCTCACCATCATCATCATCATCATCAGCATCATCATCCTAACGTTAGCTAGACTTTGAGTGGAGCTCGTAGCGTCGTACTCCTGCTCCTCCTCCTCATTCACCTCCTCCTCATCTTCCTACATCCTCCTACCTCTTCCTTCCTCTTTCGCCTCCTCCTCAGCATCCTCCTTGTCATCCTCCCGTGGTCCTGTTTCTAGGCTGGTGGTGCTCACGCACTGGCGGAGACCATCGTGATTGCCTGCGCGACTCGCGTATTGCAAACGCCATGATATCCTATGACTGCATACCGCGCGCGAGACCTCGCAGAACCTGTTCCGATCGCGTTCGTTCCCCCGACGCTACGAGACCACCACGTTAACCTCTCTCCACGTCCATGCCAGCCAGCTGTTGGTCAGCGGCGAGGGCCAGCGCACAACAGGTTCGGGTAGCCGGCGGGCCGCGCCAGGGCTGCGGGCACACACGGACGTCAAGGGGAAGAGGAAGGCAGCCGCGGAGGAAAGCGGGAGGAGGCCTGCGGCGTTGAGAATCTGCGCCACGAGGAGCGCGCGGGCGGCTTCAGGCACTGGGGCTGGTGCAGCAGAAGGCGTGCGGTCAGTCCAGGCCTCTTTACGAGCATGCAACGGCATCAGGACTAGTTCTCCAGAAATACCGAACAAGGAACGCGAGGTTCACAAAAGCATACTGACCAAAACTAGCATTGCCATAAACCGTGACTTCTGAGTCCAAGACACGTTGACTCATTTCGTTCAGCACGCGTTCCTCCTCCTCTCCTTCCGATTCCCTTCTCTGCCTTCCTTTCCGACTCCCTCCTCGCCCTCCTCGTACTCAGTCTCCTCCTGACATTCCGTCGTTGTCCTCTCACTCATTCCTCTATCCCTTGCTCTCCCTCTCCTTCGTCCTGGGTTTACAGCCCCTCTGTTACAACCACCAATTCCTCCCTCCCGCCCTCCGTCCTCCTCCCAGACATCATCATCATTATGATCATAATCATCATCATCATCATCATCATCATCATCATCATCATCATCATCATCATCATCATCATCATCATCATCATCATCATCATCATCAGCATCATCATCATCATCATAATCATAATCATCATCATCATCATCAGCAGCAGCAGCATCATCACCATCATCAGCATCATCATCACCATCATCACCATCATCATCATCACCACCACGATCACAACAACTAACAGCAGCAGCCATCATCATCATCATCATCATCATCAGCAGCATCATCATCAGCAGCAGCATCATCATTATCAACGACATCCGAATTATGATCATCATCATCACCATCAAGAATCATCACCATCGTCATCATAGTCAACATCAACATCATCATCATCGTCATCATCATCATCACCACCACAACCATCACCGCCAAAACCACCATCATCATCATAATCGTCATCATCATCATCATCCTCATCATCATCATCATCAACGTCATCAGCAGCATCATCATCAGCATCGGAGTCAGAATCATCATCATCATCATCATCATCATCATGATCAGCGTAATCATCATCATCATCATCATCATCATCATCATCATCAGCACCATCACCATCTTCATCATCATCACCGTAATCATCAACATCATCAGTATCATCATCATCATCATCATCATCATCATGTTCAACATCAGCATCGTCATCTCAATCATCATCATCATCATCATCGCCATCACCATCGCCAGCATCATCATCATCAGCCTCATCATCATCATCATCAGACTCATCAGCATCATCATCATCAGAATTATCATCGTCATCGTCATCGTCATCGCCATCATCAACATAATCATGCACATCGTCAGCATCATCATCACTATCAACATCATCACCATCATCGTCGTCATCGTCATCGTCATCGTCATCATCAGCATCATCAACAGCATCGTCATTATCACCAGAAGCAGCATCACCTGCATCGTCTTCGTCATCACTATGACAAGCATCATCATCCTCATCAGCAGCAGCAACAGCGTCATGATCGTCACCATCATCAGCATAATCATCAGCATCGTCATCATCATCATCATCGTCGTCACCATCATCATCAGCATCATCATCACTATCATCACCAACAAACATATCGTAACCATCAGCACCTCCATCGGCAACACTCCCGTAACCATCATCATCATCACCATCATAATAATCGCCGTCACCATCATCATCATCACCATCATCATAATCACTATCAGCATCCCATCATCGTCATCACCATCATCAGCATCAGCATCATCCTCATGATCATAATCATCATCAGCATCCTCATCATCATCATCGTCATCATCTTCATCATCGTTAACATCATCAGCATCATCATCAGCATCATCATCATCATAATCATCGTCATCATCGTCATCATCATCGCTGATCTTTCACCTTCCCCTCCATCACTCTCTTCCTCCACCTCCGTCTCCTCCTACCGATTCCTGCTCATCAGTGTGCCCTGTTCTTTTCATCACTGCCCTGTTCCCTCCCTCGCCCCTCTCCTGACTCCGTCTCTCCTCTTTCTTTCCGGACGACCGTGCACGAAAAACGAGCAACTGGTCCAGAGACAGCACCGCTTCGTCCAAGGCCATGACTGTTGCAAGGAAGGGAAGCACTGGGTCTGCAACACAGCTCCCTCCCCCCGTTTTGTCGGACGAACCAGGGAGGGCGGAGCCGCCTGAACCAAGATGGGCGTCCTGACAGCTCGGGGACGCGCAACCATGGATTTAGCGATCCATGGATTTGGCGCGCGGTCGCCAAATCCATGGATCGGGGGAGGTGCGCTCCCCAAAAATGCGGCCGGTGCCGCCTCGTCGGGCGGCGGAAATCCGCGACTCCGCATGGAAACGGGACCCGTCGCTAATCCACGCCCCCCTAAGCCGTGTTTGCGATCGCAGGAACAGCGAGCCTGGCAGCGAGCCCGCAACCTGACAGCGAGGTCCCCAGGCGAAGACGGGGGGAGACAGAGACTGCTGCGCTCGCGGCCGCGACTGCGGCTCGCGGGGCGGGGCGGTCGCCCCGTTTCCCCCGTGCCCCCCCCCCCCCCCCAGCAGGGGGGGCCGAGGTGCCGTCTCTGTCAACCAACAACCCTGGCACTGGCACCCTCCCTTCCTCCCTGCCTCCTCCACCTCTGCGCCGCCGCCCTCCTCCCTCCCTTCTCCCGGCCCTGCCTCCCTCCTCCCTCCCTCCCTTCTCCCTCCCTCCTTCCCTTTTCCCTCCCTCCTTCCTCCCCCGCTCCCCTCCCTCCCTCCCTCCCTCTTCCATCCCTCCCTTCTCCCTCCCACTTTTCTTCCCGAGGCCTCTGCGCGCACGTGGGCTCCCGGGCGGACAGACTCGACTGGGGGGGAAAGGAAGCGCGGACACGGTTTCTCCAACCAGACCCTTCTCCCTCCACCCGCTGCCCC